GGAGAAAGATGTGGCAGTCCGCTTCCATAAAGATTTACAGCCTTGGAAACGCTATGGGACAGTTCTACTCTGTCCTACAGGGTTGCTATGAGTCAGAATTAACTCAATGGCAGTAGGTTTGGTTTTGGTTGGTTTTATAACCACGTATATTATATTGTAAATTGGTTTTACATTTTCCTAAATTATATTCTACTTTTATAAAAACTTTATTGTGGTAAAATATATGTAACAAAATATCTGCCTTTTTAACCATTTTAAAGCATGCAATTTAGTGACATTAATTACATTCACCATGTTTGCTACCATCAGCACTACCCACAGTCACATTTTTCATCACCTCAAACAGAAACTCAGTGCCTCTTAAAGCAACTCTCCATTTCTACATAACCCCTAACCCCTGTAGCCACAAATAAATTTTGGTTTGTATGCATTAGCCTATTCTAGGTATTTCATATTAGTGGAATCATACAAAATTTGTCCTTTTGATCTTATTTCACTCAGCATGTTTTACAGGTTCATCCATGTCATAGCAGGTATCAGAACTTCATTTCTGATACTCACGGGCTTCTTTCTTCTCTGGTACCAGCTCCCTATTGCCCTGCAGAGGTGTGTGATTGTGACCAAGGTAAAGAGGAGGAGCTGATCACGGCCCAGAGAGCTCCCCCCTCCCGCCCCCTTCCTTTCTGTCTGCAGGTACAAGGGACTGATGTTTACACACATCTCAAGGCCAGAAAAAGAGAAGAAAACCATCCCAAATTGAAAAAGAACAATACATCATGTTAAAACCCTGCAGAGCAAATGAGGGAAAGCTCAAAGAGAGAGGACAAATGCCTTTACGAATAATTTGAAGCCCTCAAATGGAAGGAGATTTCAGGCAAAGGCTGCTTCAATCTCTTGAGAAACTTAAAGAGAACACAAACTACAGGTCTTTTAAGGATGAAGAAGTGACAAGAGAAGGATATGACAGGGAAAGATGTTTGGAAGTGACATGGGGTCTCAGAAAGAAATTCATGGCTCTGCATTCTAACCACAGGTATGTTCAGGGTCCTCCTTATCCCATTCAGTGCATTTTTGCCTTGAATTCAACTA